TGTCCAGATAAGGGCGCAGTTGGCGTATCAGCCGAAGCTGATAACAAGAATGACGTCTTCTCTTTTCATTCTCTCCTCATTTTTGCCCCATTTTTAAAAAAGATGCTCTTATAGAGTGCTGGAGACCATTTGTACCACCCAATAAGGCTTTTCTTACCCCAGGGTTTCAATTAGAATTCATATATTAATTAATCTGAATAAATTAGAATTAAGAAGATATCACAGACTGGGAATAGGCAAGTGCCATTTGTTTTTAAAATTCTTCTGCAGCATGAACACTGGGGAGAGTGATCCAGTTCAGACACACACATTTTGACTTATTAAGCTGAAAGAGTATTTATTATTTATCCTGACTTGTGCCCAAGTGCTCAATTCTCGTATTGGTTCTTTCCTCCTTCCTTGCTGATGCATTGTAATTGAACACTTCTTGGTTTAATTGACCTCAGTTTTCTACTGTGTCTATAAACTGTCAAACTATGGTTACCAGGAAAAGAAGCCAGGATCTGAAATAATAGTTTGAAGTTGAAATGGCAGCTTTATGTTTTGACTCTGGGCAGTTACGATGCTGCTAAATTCCTGTGAATCAGGGTTTATTGAAAAATAAAGAAGGTTGAAAAGGGATAGTGGAGAGAGGTGGTAAAGCTGGGCATATAGAATATGATAGGTCTTTAGGTACTTGAATTCTGCTTATGTGCAAATGTTGTCACTCTTTGCCTATTAAGATCAATCATTTTTGCCACAGAGAGGCAATGACATAAACTCTGCTTTCTTCCACAGAGTTGTAGGAGAGATTATGGAGAGGTCCTAAGGTGCAGAGCCTGTTTTCTAGTCCTGGTTCTTCTGCTTTCCAATTCTCTGTTGCGTTCTTCCTACCCACCCACCCCCAGCTCTTGTTTGAATCTTTTGTTGGCAGTTTTCTCTGGACAATTGCACACCTGTCTTTCAGGTTGTTACTACACAGTTGTCACCGCAAATCTTGTTTGCCTACTTTCAGCTCAGTTTAATGAAATGTGGGAATGGACATATCGATTGGGTGCAATTTGACCAGTTAATCAATTTTCTACAGTTAAATTTAAATCCAATTTCCACATGGATTTAGGAATATTTATAAAGTTAGCATGAAAATATGTTTTCATGTGCATTTCGTTTGCGTGTGTGTGTGTTTTTGTAGATCATTTCCCAAATATGCCTATTTTGATGCACTTCTTAAACAATGTTCACACCCCCTCCCCCATAACAACAGTTTTGTGTACATCTCCCCTAAATGTTCATTTAATGTGCACCTTTGTGGAATATGGATTATCCCTCCCCCGAACCTTGTAATTGGCAGACATCATTACCACATTCAAAGAAGCATAGCTTTTTGATTGCAGCTATGTTCTCATAGTTGGTTTTGGTGAATATGAGTAAGTTGGATTTTAGTTTGTGTGAATTAGATTGCACCTTTTTTTTTCCTGCAAAGGCTTTAATATTTCTCACTACTTGCTTCTATTGATGTGTTGCTCCTCTGCTGGTTTCCTGGTACCTGGATAGGTACCTGGCATGGGCCCTCTAGACTATATTCAGCTCAATGAACATCCATTTATAAATGAAGCAAAAACAATGCATTTAAGTAATGATACTTTAGACAATAACCTAATCCCCACAATGATGGTTTTCTACCCCAAAGATTTGGGAAATCTGTAATTCAGGAAAGGAAGTGACAACAGAGGCTGAGCCAACAGATGGAAGGATAGGCACAGAGAACTGGGGAACAATATGCACAAATACAGTTATGTATCATTAAGTGTGTAGAGATAAGGACTTGATTATTGGTATGGAAAATGTGACACTTTGTTATTACATGTTATCTTAATGTCTGCTTATATATGTGCTTGTTTTGCTTTGCTTTCTGTATAAAGTAAGTTGACTCCAGGCTATTCTGATAAACATAGTCTTTTATGGGGATGTGTGACTAAGGAAAAGCTATAAAAACATGTTTCTCCTACAGCTGCAGTTCTGAATGTCCACCCTTCTTCTCAGAGAGCATAGACCCTATGATACATATTGAATACGTGGAAAATACGGTGTTTTGACAGCACATCCTATATTTTTTTGTTTTGTTTGGCTGGATGAAATATGCCCCTTCATTCATTTTGACTCTCATTTTGACACTTAGACAATTTTGGCAGTATAAAAATTTGCTTCATAATGTTGCTGCTGACCTTACTCCTTTTCTGTTTATGTGCTTTTGGCATGAATTTGGCTACAAACTATTTTTCTTCATTTTTGCAGTTCATACATTTTAAAGTTTTATTTCTTAAATCGATCATGGCGTTTGTTATTAAATTGGAATCATGAATGACATCTAGCCCAGTCCCATGCTTATTGTAGGGAACTTGCAAGTACCACAGTGCTGTGTATATGTGCCTTCAAGTTGCTTGTCTATTTGGGGAGATCTCATGAATTTCATACGGTTTTGGTAGGAGTAATCAGAGGTGGTTTGCCATTGCATTCCTCTGAAATATAGCCATCAGAACCTAGTATTCCTTGGCAATCTCCCATCCAAGTACTATTCAGTGTAGCCTTTGCTTAAAAACCTTCTGTAAAGGAACAGTCAGTTCCACTATCCCAGGTCTTTTGCTTGTCAGGAGGGTTCTAGGATTTTGTTAAAAATGGCATCTCTGCTCTTTCTATGCATTGTTATCCTGTTCTTTCTGCCGAACAACAAAAAAACAAGTTTGTTCCTCATCTTCCACATAAGACATGGAAGGTTAGGTCAGTGTAAGCTCAATGAGCTTTTGGTAAATAAGCTTAATCAAATACTGGTATGTGTACTTTTCTAGTAAGGTTACCGAAAACCAAGGGCAAAATCTAAAAAAGAAAGAAAGAAAGAAAGAAAAGACAAAGTTGCAAGCGATTGTGTACAGTGTGTAGCTTGACCATAGAGTTCTCATACAGAATTTTCAGTGACAATTAACACGTGATCCAAATGACCACAAAATGTGAAACATACAATAGTGAGGTTCAGAGACTATATATATATATATGCATATGTGAAGCAAGAGCCAGCATAGTATAGTGGTTTGAGTGTTGGACTATGATTCTAGAGATCAGGGTTAGATTCCCTGTTCAACTATAGACTCCCACAGGGCCACCATGAGCAAGTCACACACTCTCATCCCCAGAAAACCCCATGATAGGTTCACTTTAGGATTACCGTAAGTCAGAAATTACTTTAAGGCATACAACAATATGTGAACCAGCCCAGGGTATGCTGGTTAAAAGTATCAACAGGTCAGCATGCTTTTATTTTGCAAGTTAACCTGTCTTTACTGGACCATTTCATCCTATGCAAAGTGAATTGAGAGCATGCATTCTTTCCTCCAATGCTAGAACTCTGATTCACCCAATTGAGCAGGCTGTAGTTTAAGATGTGGCATTTCACACAGTATCTAACTAAGGACTAAGTACCTTATTTTCCTGCGTATAAGACTACTTTTTTACCTGAAAAATCTGTGGTTAAAGTGGGGGGGTCGTCTTATACGCCGGGTATAAGGATAAGGAGGATAGAGGTGCTAAGACTCTATATTTTGACTGGAAAATGGGGGGTCGTCTTATATGCTGGGTCATCTTATACGCCGGAAAATACGGTAGCTGTAATTCTCCAGAGGTTGTATGACAGCAACTCATAATCCTTCTTTGCTGGATATGCTGGCAATGACAAATGGGAGTTGTAGGTGAAAAACATCTGGAGTGCCAGAGATTGCCTGTGTCTGATCTAGCATATGGTGGTTGTCCCATGGCATAAGGTGAATTTTAAGAAAGATTAATAGAACCCATAGTCACTGCTCAAAATGCATAGGCTAAATGTACACAAGGGGGAAGCAGGATCTTAATGACAAGGTTACCTAGCCTACATTCATTTAAATTAGACTATCAACTGAGACCTTGTGCATATATGAACTGTTATGAGTCACCAAAGCTCTGCAAAATGGGAGGACCCCGCATCACACTGATAAGTCTACAAATAAACAATTAGTATGCATATACGAGGTCAGGTCATAGGTCAGGATCAGGGCCTGCTGCCATGTATGTGCTTTAAATGAATGAAGAGGAATACCATAATAGGGTAGGTTTAACAATACAGAATAGCATGACGGAGTGAGCTCCTGTCATTAGTCCCCGATTCTGCCAACCTAGCAGTTTGAAAACATGTAAAAGTGCAAATAGATAAACCTTCCCACTTTGATGGGAAGGTAACAGCATTCCATGTAGTTGTGCTGGCCACATGATCATAGAGTTGTCTTTGACAATGCTGGCTCCCTTGGCTTAATAACGGAGATGGACAATCATGTCAAAGGTGAAATCTTTGGAAGAGGTTAGGGACACAGGCCCCCATGAAAGTGGGAAAAACACAAACACTTTTTTTAAACTAGAGAAAACACTTCTCTAGGCATTTGCAGGTCCTCCAGCACAGCTCTGTGGTCAACATCCCCAGGAAGTTGACCATCGAATTGTGCTGGAGGACCTACAAATGCCTAGAGAAGCGTCTCTAGGAATCTCCAGGTCCTTCAGCGCAACGTCTGGTGGAAGTTGGGCACAGAGGCATGCTGGACGACCTAGAGATTCCTAGAGAAAACAAATTAATCAAATCTGCAAATAATCAAGTCTGCAAAAGTCAAAGCCACAAATGTGGAGGGCTGAATAGAAAATGACTGCTCAATGATTTTGGTATCCAAAGACTCTGGAATCAAAAGATCTGTGGTAGTGGCTTTCGTTGCTTTGGTACTATTTGTGTGATTGTCTTTGCACTATTTTGGAGCATTTTTGTCAGATTTTTTTTTTCATTCCTTTCACAGCATTTCACCGAGCTCCTTGATGACTTTTCCCAGGATGTTTTGGGGCAGCTCCTGAATGACCCTTTCCTGTCTGACAAAAATGAGATGATGGAAGTGGAGCTGTCTCCAGCTTCTCCAGCTCCCCTCATTCAGGCTGAGCACAGCTACTCACTTTGTGGTGACTCTCGACCCCAGTCCCCACTCACTCACATTTCAGCTGATGACAATTTCAATGAAGGTAAAAGCATACCGTAATTTTGCCAGCAGATGTCTATGACTAGGATTATTACTGTGGATTTTCTCAAAGTGATACCTGGTCAGAGTGCTAGACTTGGTTAAAGGAGTGCTAATAGCCTGGGATATAGTGGTAATGTGTTTCTGTGGGTGTTAATTGTCAGATAACCATTCTTCCACCACTCCTAGTTAAGATTTACGTGATCTATTTGTCTGTCTGTGAAGGGTAACAATAGAAACCATAGTCTGAATCAGAAAAAGCAATTTTTGAATGAAGCTGAGGCCAAACACAACAAGAGAGGTGTTTTGCAAGTTAACGGTATATTGGCATGTTAACTGGCTCTCAAAAGATCTGATCTGAATTGGCTTGCCTGTTGGAATGTTAAGGCTTGCTTGTGCTCCACTTGTGTATTTAGAAATAAACTTAAATACTGAATAATGCCATGAGCAATATCCAATGATGTTTACCTACAGGAAGTTAAGCCTTTGTGAGTTTTAAGCTGAACTAATGGAAGTTCACACAACACAGAGAAGTGGGGTGTATGTAAGGAGGATGGGGACAGAATTAAGAAACACTATTTGAAGAACTGCATATTTTGAAGACGAGTAGGTTGTATGGCTGTTCCATATGATGGTGTGACTGTTAGGCATCTGGTTGTTTTGCCTGGCTGCCACATGATTTTTTTTCATGGTGGAGAAAAGCCACACTGCCTTAGCTGAATGCTATTGGCATTTGCATTTGCATTCTCATAGTGGGTAAAGCCAAAGCCAAAGTAGTTTAAGATTGAAACTCAACAGAGATTTGCATAAAAGAGATCTGCATTTAGGTCTTGAGATTCAGGTTCTCCACCTCTGCTTAATGTATGTTGAATTCATGAGATACCCATTTTTATAAGGTTTTAAAAGCCAGGCTTACAAGGTACCGGTATGTGTTTGTAATGATTCCTAACCTGTATATGTGTCATGGCTCTTCAATGTAAAATGTCTTATGGGAAGAAGCTGTACAAATTCACATTAATTGAAAGTTAATACCTAAGTTAAGATTGTGGGAAGGACTACGTTGATGAGTTGTATAAGGGAAGGAATCAAAATGTTACAAGGAAGGAGGTTGAAGAGAATATTTTGGTGATCTCCTGCAGTTCTGTAGCCCTTGTGGGCACCTGTGAATTTGTATGCAAGTGTGAAACTGGCCATATGTGCTGCTAAAAAGGAGTGCAGCTTTATATAACAAGACTTTTCTTTTAAAAAGTACACACATTGCTAATGTGAACTATCAGTTATCTTTCTTGCTAGAGTTCCAGATAGTAATTCATGACTTGTATTGCATTTTTGAACAAGCAAAAATACCGTACATGTAATGTCTTTTATGTAGGTCTACATCAGCTTTAAAATGGCATGTGCAAAGAGCATGAACCTTAATGTATTGTTATTGTTGCTGTTTTGTTCAATTATATCTCATCTTTTCCCCAATAATGGTACTCAAGACAGCTAACATTTTTCAAATAATACAGAAATTATACAAAAACTTTGATAAAAAATATAAATATAAACGGTAATTAAAAAGCAGTTAAACCATTTATAATATTTAAATGTTAAAACATTAAAAACATTAACATTCATTAAAAGATTATACATACCACAAAACCGCACAGCATGTCATTAAAAGCCCATCTCATTCAGTTTCTAAAAAGGCTGGTGCCACAAAAATGTTTTAGGTACTGGCCTCCCTAGGGAAAGAATTCCAAAGATTGAGAAAAGGCCCTCTTTCCCACCAAACAAGCCCAAGAAGGTGGCAGAAGAGAAAGAAGGGCCTCTCCAGATGATCTTAGAGCTCTAATGAATGCATAAAGGGAGATACAGTCTTCAAATAGCCTGGACCCAAACCATATAGGGCTTTATAGGTCATCAGCACTTTGGATTGTGCCCAGAAATGGACCGGCAGTCAGTGGAGCAGCTTCAACAAGCGAGTTGTGTGTTCCCTGTAGGCAGCCCCAGTTAGCAATGTCAAAGTGCAGCCAGATCACAATGTTAGTTGTAGCATCTGAAAAATGGATATAACAATGTGAATCAAAGGCAGAATGGGCTGGGGATGGGGAGGAGAGCAGCAGCAGAATTGATCAATAACTTGGAGCATTTTTCCTACAGTTTTTGGAGAAGATTATCTTAACAGTGGTGAGCAACTAAGGAGGGAGAACAGGAGAGGTTTATAACAGTGAGGAGAGAGAAATTTGTTTCTTTCCCTCATAATACTGGAATTATTTATTTATTTATTTATTTTGCAGTGGGTATGACCATCAGTTCAGGAGGAAGAACTGCCGTACAAAAGTCATAACTGTCTTTGAGAATACTCTGTTGCATAAATGTAGAAACAGCCATTAGGTTCAATGGCTTTAAAATGAAATTAGACAAACTTGTGGTGGAACAGTTAGCTGATTGGTTATGAAGCCTCTCTGTTTTACGTACACCATCTGTGGATTAGATAGATCTGCAAAGGCATGCAGAGAGAATATGTTAGTGTTTGTTCCCTTAGGATCTCTGGGCCTGTGGATTTTATCAACGAACCTCTGAGCCCCTCTGGAACTCTTTGAAACCATACTTGTTGGAGAAAGAGCCTACAAACCCAGTGGCTGTCAGAGACCAAAAGACCTGTTGTTCTGTTTTTAGACATATCTACAGCAAGCCTTTGGTATCTGCTGCAGTTTGGTTCCAAGATCCCCCATGGATAACAACATTTGTGGATGCTCAGGCCCATTAAATGCAATCACATATTAAACTGGTGTCCCTTATATAAAATGGCAAAATCAAGGTTTGTTTTTGGGGATTTATATATATAGTTTTAAAAATTCTATCTGTCGATGTTTGACTCCATTGATAAAAAATTCCAAGAGTATGGAGGTCTGCCTGTAATTTATAACTGCATTTTTTTTGTCTGTATTTTATCTTGAACCATAGTTTTGGGAATCAGTCTTGGCTGAGAAGTGGAATATATAAATATAATAAATGTTGGATATCCCCTGCCCCAGAGTTGAGCAAAGCCTGAGCCTTTGCATCTTCATGAACCAGT